GCTCTAAAGTCTAAACCAAAATTGGGGCACAAAACAATGGAAAGATACAATACAGATAGGCAATGTAATCTAAACCAAAACTAGGGGCACAAAACAATGGAAAGATGCAATACAGACAGGCGATGCAATACAGACAGGCAATGCAATCTAAACCAAAATTAGGGGCACATTGGAAAGATGCAATACGGACAGGCAATGTAATCTAAATCAAAATTAGGGGCACAAAACAATGGAAGGATGCAATACAGACAGGCAATGTAATCTAAACCAAAACTAGGGGCACAAAACAATGGACAGATGCAATACAGACAGGCAATGTAATCTAAACCAAAATTAGGGGCACAATGGATACATACAGGCAAGGTAGCCTAAACAAAAATTGGGTGCACAATGGGTATATAGGTACAGGCAAAGGTGGAGGTGATGTGAATGTGAGTACCAATTTCACAATCCCATTTATTAAATTTTTCTAATGGTTATTAATTAATATTTATTAAGGGCGTTAATGGCGCCATCGATCCCTATTCCCTATCCTTGCTATCTACCAGGACCAATAATATATAAACTAAAATTAGGGGCACAATCAACTTTTAGGAATATAAAGTAAAAGGATCCTTTTTGAATAACTAATCAAGTCGTCATACCCCTTTATGAATTATGCACTTTGATTAAAATTCGGTGTGAAAGAAAGATTTTGAGTGTAAGAAAGGGACAAAACCCTCATTTTCTTGATCGGGAAATGGTAGCTACGTACGCATGCCCATCTTGATTTTCAAGTTTCGTTGCGTTTACGCAAATTGTTCCATGGCAAGTTGTGCTCCCCTCCTTGCACGTAAAACATTCTTCCTGTAATTAATTAAAATATTTTTCTGTAATGCAATTTTATGTTGAAGTGGATTAATTAGTCTACCAAAAATCCCAACACTAGTTTCTTATATCTAGAGAATGCATACCTACATGTACTTGAGTACAGTTTAAGTTAAGAAAAATGATATATATAACTTATAAAGTTACACACTTCATTATGTATTGACAGTTTTTATTATTTGTATCATTAAAATTGACAGTCTCATTACTTGTACAATTAAAATTAATAGTTTTCGTTATTTATATCGTTAAAATTGACAATTTCTATTATATATTGATAATTTTTCTCTAATGAAATGTAAAACTTTATAAGATATATATTATTAGGAGTAATTAATTAATTAAGATAAACCACTTGAAATATGGAAAGGGGAGTAAATTAGTATATAATTAGTAAAAAAGTAACTAATAATAAGTCATCATATGGACTCATGGACATAGACATGGACATGGAAGAGAGAAGCAAAAGTTTGACATGGTGGAGACCCAATTATTATCAAGAGAAAGGCAGCTACCTGCATGTGAGCACATAATCGATCGCATGCGTCTTTTTAATAAGTTTTGTTGGCATCAACTGCCGCTATTGCTAATCCATAAACCTTCACTTGTCATGGAATTATTAGAAAACTCCAATTCACTGACTAAAAATAATATGTAAATGCATTTGTTCTAATTAATTTTAGGTATTTTTGTTGGGACCATAGACGCCCGTCGGTGGATCATTTTTATATTCCATTCATTTTCGCAAAATTATATTATTACAAAAGATTTATATGAACCCCTCGCCCAACCCTTAAAATACATTACCACTTACTATCATTGTTATCATTTTTTTTCGTAATATCAAAATATATATTATTAATCAATAATATATTAATTTAAGTG